GAGTGGTGGCCCACACCTGGAATCCCCACTCCAGAGGCTGAGGCAGTAAGATTGCCTGGAGTTCAAGGCCTGAATTACATAGCGAGACCTTGAGACCCCCCTCAAATGCTGGTGAGCCCTGGAGGTGGGCACAGTTGGTTCTTGCTGCCCAGGGTGACCTCTGAAGAGCTGCTGTGCCACAGCCCATGACCCTTCACAGTCCCACAGCAGAGGCTGTCCGCAGAGGCCTGTGGGTGTTTGAGGACAGGTAGGCCAATCCTTGTGTGTGACCTGCCCACAGGGCACAAAGCAGGCCTCAGTGGTGCCCATGATCAGGGGTTTCTGTCCCCCTGGAAGGACAGTTCTGCTGGACATCGAGTAGCCACATGGTCCCTGTCATTCAGTAATGGATGCTGGAGGTTTGTTCAGCCTTTGTTCTGTTACGCTTCGTCTATACAGAGCATAATAGGGCCTCCTTGTGCGCAGGTATTGGGCAGAACCTTGGTGGAAGGGCCCCAGGGCAAGATGTCTTTAACATTTTGATAAATTTTGATCAAAGGCAACAAGAAGGCAGTGCATTGGCACAGGTCTGTAATCCCAACTATTCAGAAGGCTGGGGCAGGAGGATTCCAAGTTCAAGGCCAGCCTGAGCTATATAGCAAGACCTTGTCTCAAAACCAAAAAGTAGATTGCAGAAAGAACTTAGGCACTGATGTGGATGTGAGCTGCTGATGTTGTAACTGATCTGTTATTAAATTACTCTAGCCCAGGCTCATGTTTCATATTTAAATTTTTTTTGGGGGGGATTACCAGGGATCGAACTCAGGACTTTGTGTTTGCAAGGCAGGTGGTGGAACCACTGAGCTAAATCCCTGGCCTGTTTTTAATTTTTATTTTGGCAATTTTGGCATAATTTGAGACAGAGAAATGAACACAGGTATTATGGAGTTGTCCTGCCCCCAATCTGTCCCAGTGGTATGGAAATCAACCTGTTATGCTCTTTTTTTTTTTTTTTGGTACCGGGGATCGAACTGGGGTCCTTGTGCTTGCAAGGCAGGCGGCCGAACCACTGAGCTAAATCCCCGGCCAACCTGGTATGCTCTTTAACTATACCAGAGGCTGTTCTGGTCTTGTGGGTTCACCCTCCACAGCATGGTCCTTCTCAGCCTGTAATCCTCACATTCGGGAGGCTGAGGCAGGAAGATTTCAAGTTTTAGGACAGCATGGGCAATTTCATGAGACCCTGTCTCATAAAACCAAACCAAAAAACTATATATATTTTTAAAAACTTGTGATGGGCTGGGTATGGTGGCTCAGGGCTGTAATACCAGCACTTGGGGGACTGAAGCAGGAGGACTGCTGAGAGTTCAAGGCCAGCCAGAGCTACATAGTGAAACCGTCTCAAAAAACCAAAAAAAAACCCAACCCAATCTTGTGATGCTTTTTTTTCCCTTCCTTGTGATGCCTTTTAAGGCTTCAGAATCTTTCCTGATCTCTCATGACTGTGACCATCTCCAGGAGGACTGGCCAGAGGTTTTGTAAAAAGTCCCCTAATCTGGCTCGGCTTGGTGGCACACACCTGTAATCCCAGCACTCTGGGAGGCTAAGGCGGGAGGATGGCAAGTTGGAGTCAAGCCTGGACAACTGAGCAAAAGATGTCTCAGAATATAAAAAGAAGGATTGGGGCCGGGTGCGGTGACCCACTCCTGTAATCCCAGCACTTGGGAGGCTGAGGTAGGAGGATCTCTGAGTTCAAGGCCAGCCTGGGATACATAGTGAGTTTGAGGCCAGTATGAACTACATAGACCTTGTCTCAGAAAAAAAAAAAGGGCTGGGGATATAACTCTGTGTGGGGGCCTTGGGTTCAATCTCCAGTACTGGGTAAACAAACAATCCCCTGACCTGGGTTTAGGTAGGAACAGCCACAGGCAAGGTGCCCATCTCACACCCTAACAGGGTACCTGAAACCAACACTATGGGGCCTGTGATGTTGACTTTGGCCAGCTGGTGGCAGTGGGGTCCCCAGATCCCCATTGTCCCCTTACCTATTGTGTTCTAAGAAGTCAGCCTTGGGCACCACTGGACACAGATCCGAGAGTGTCTGTGTTGCAAGTGCACCCCAATTTATATAACTTCTGTCCCTGCCTGTGCCCGGAGAATGTGTGCACTGGCCCAGAGACCACCGGTGACATCCAGCTGCTGCGGGCTCCCTGCCTTGCTTTGCTCCAACAGCCACCTTTGAGCCCTGGGAGGGGCCATAAGGGAAGGGAAAGGTGACCCCCACTGACAAGTTTGAGGAAGTAAGGGCCAACTCCGGTGCCCTGCACTTTCCCAAAACCCTCTGCTCCTCTTACCTATGAGCAAAGGTGCGGTGCTTCATATTCTGGCCTTGATTTCCCCATCTGTAAAATGGGGTGGCACCTCCTATAGGCTTGCATTGAGGACAGGGTCCCAAAGTTCAGGCAGAGTGGTGGCAGGGCCCAGGGGACATACTGGGGTTTGGGGTGGGCCCAGGCTCCACGTGGGGGCTGCTGAGTGGCCAGCATGGCTCACAGATGAAGACCACAGGTGACCACCATGGTGACAAGAAGTAGACAGACTCCTGAGGCCCAGAAAGGGCATCTGTCAGGCCACAGGGATGGCACCTGCCTTGACAGGGCTCACCCTTGGGGCAGCAGGCCCCCTCAGCATCACCCCACTTCCTTGTGATCTTGGTGGTGTTTCCAGGCCTGGGGGTTCTTCCTGCTTCAGCAGCATGGCTGTCAGGCAGAGGCATCTTCAAGCCCCAGGTGGCTCCACCTCTTCAGTGTGGCAGCCTGCTGGACACTGAGCCCTTGGAGGCCAGGCCCACACAATAAACATCAGCAGAAGAAATGAAGCCTCCTGACTTCCTGTTTCCAGCACATGTTCAGGGCTTGGAGCTGGGGATGGGGGACTCACAAGGGCCTTGGTCCCAGGCACAGCAAAGAGGCAGAGGACAAACTCCTGTGGGTGGGGGCTGCCCCAAGTGACCCACCCTCTGGACCCTCAAAGACATAGGAGGAGCCATCCTGGAGGCTCAAACCCGTAATCCCAGCACTGTGAGAGGCTGAGGCCAGTGGTGGATCGAAAGTGCAAGTTTAGCCTGGGCAATTCAGCGAGATCCTGTCTCAAAATATAAAAAGGAACGCGCTGGGTATTTAGCTTGGTGGTGCCGCCGCCTGCCTTGAAAGTGCAAGATCCTGAGTTTGATCCCCGATCCAAAAAAAAAGGAAACATAAAAAGATGTAGTCCAGTGCAAAGGTCCTGAGTTCCATATCTGGTATCAAAATATTAAAAAAAAAAAAAAAAAAAGCAGGGCTTGGTAGTGCACACCTAATAATCCCAATACTCTGGAGGCTGAGGCAGGATGATCACGCGTTCAAGGATAGCCTGGACTACATAGTGAGCACTTGTCTCAAAAAAAAAAGTATTAAAAAAAAAGACTCAGGAGGCCAGCCTGGCAGGAACACTGACCACCAAGGTTCACCAAGTGCCCATGTGGTCCACAGATTTTACAGCACATAACGGAGGAAATGCGACAGGGGTGCCTGAGGGAGGCTGTACCCTCCCGCGAAAGAAGGCTCAGTCTGAACTTCATGAGACGCTGGCACCGACAAATACCTTGGAGTGGGGGAATTTGGGGGACAGTGGCCGAAATGATGGCAGAAAGGGCCAGGTTAGGTAGCTGCCGGAGCATGTGCAGAGGATGGTGACAGGCCGGGCAGGGGGCCAGGCCTCGTGTCCCCACCGTGCAGGGAAGTGATTGTGAACCGGTCGGCGGACGCCACTACAGATTCGCCCCCTGTAGGCTACGCTGGCCACTGCACGCCCTCCGCCGCCCGCGGGAGGTAGGAAGGGGTGGGAGCCTGGTCACTTCCGCGCGCCTGACCGCCCCCTGCGGATTTTGGGGGGGGGTCTCCAGCCATCTGCGTCCCCAATGACATCGCCACTCGTCTGTAACGTCGCGCGGACGTCCCTGGGGACTTTCAGAGGCCTCCACCAGCTGGCCTCAGTTTTCCCGTCCCAGTTGAAAGGTTCTTAGTCTGAGGGCGAGAAGCGACGTCAGGACTGCGGTGTCCTAAACTGGTTGGGGGGGGGGTCCCTCGCCTCCTCTTCTACCCTTACCATGGCCCTGCCTGGCCCAACAGGCCGCGCACGAGTAACTCCGGAACCCGGCGCCGAAAGAGGAACCAACGCGGGCCGAGCCGTGCGGGGTGGGGCTCATCACCTTCGGAAGCTCTGCCTCGGGACACTCAGTGCCTAAACCGGGAAGGTCCTGCGAGGCGCTGGGAATGGCGAGGGTGTACGCCACGGAGAGAGCGAGAGGTGCCGGGGTGCACAAAGCCGGGGCCCCAGGCCAGGAAAGAAGCGGGGGAAGGGTCGCGCACGTGGCTTGGGGGCGGGGCCGACGGCTCCGCACCCCCACCCTGGCCACGTGCAGATCTAAGTCCTCCCCTCCACCCCTGAGCGAACGGTGGCGCGCCCGGGGCCAAAGTGGAGGCATCCGGGGAGGGGGCGGGCTCCAGCCCGCCGCGCGAACCAGCGTGGGGTGGGCGCGCCGGTGAGGAGGCGGGGCGCGCGCCGCAGAGGGGGCGTCACGGGGCAGGGCGGGGCGCGCTCCAGAGGGGCGTGCCGGGGAGTGGGCGGGGTTCACTAGCCTGGCGCCCAGACCTGTTGGGGGTTGCCCTGGGAAGAGTTCCGGGCGCAAGGCAGGAGGGGGCGGGGGTCTCAGGCCTCGAGATCCAACGTGGAGGGAACGCGCGAGGAGTAGAGGACTCTGGCGCTGTCCGGAGCAGGAGGGGGTGCGCCGCGGGGCGGGCTCCTCCGGCCCGAGTTCCACCCCCGGTGCCCGCGCGCGCAGCAGCCGGGGTGGTGGAGGGCGCGCCGGAGGGGGGCGTGGCCTCGGCGCCCCGAGGGGGCGTCCTCCGGGCGGGGCTGGCCGCGGCCGCCCCCGCGGGCTCCGGTGCGTCAAGGGCGCGTCAGGCGGGGCGGGGCGGGCCGAGCGCGGGCGGCGGGCGGCGGCGGCGCGCGCCGGGCCTCCTCCTCCTCCTCCTCCCCCAGCACTCGAGCAGCCACCGCCGGCCGGAGGGACATCGCTCCCGCTGCCTCCGCTCCACCCGCTGCGCCCTCGCCGTGCGCACTCGCCCGGCATGTCGGCGGCTGTGGCCTGCGTGGATTACTTCGCTGCCGACGTCCTCATGGCCATCTCTTCGGGTGCCGTGGTGCACCGCGGGCGGCCCAGCCCCGAGGGCGCGGGCCCGTCTGCCGGCCTAGAAGTGCGGGCGGCGCGCCGTGAATCCGCCTCGCCCGGGACCCCGGGGCCACCTCCGCCGCCCTCCACCGTCCCCTCTGACCAGTGCACCGGTGGTGCCTCCGCCGCTGCGCCCCACCTGCTGGCGGCCAGCATCCTGGCCGACCTGCGCGGCGGGCCCGGAGCCGCCCCGGGGGGCGCCTCGCCCGCCTCCTCCTCCTCGGCCGCCTCGTCCCCGACCTCGGGCCGCGCCCCCGCCAATGCCGCCGCCAAGAGCCACCGCTGTCCCTTCCCGGGCTGCGCCAAAGCCTACTACAAGTCCTCGCACCTAAAATCGCACCTGCGAACGCACACAGGTGAGCCGCATTGCGATCTGGGGATGTGCGGGGGCGGCCTTCTGGACCCCCTCCCCCGCTGGGACCCCGAAACTGCGTGGTGCGTGGGGGGCGGGGAGGGGGGCGCGCCCGGGCCGCGGAGCCGGGCGGGCGGAGCCTCGGTGGGTGGGGCGCGCGGGGGGGCGTGGCGGCCATGCGGTCGGGCGGCTCGCGGAGGGGGCTCCGGCGGAACAGGGCGCCCGGCGCGATCGCGTGCTCGGTACACCGCCCCATGGGTCTGGCTTCTCAGTCCTTGTTCTTGTTTGTGTTCCGGTGTGGGCAGTCGGGATGGTGTTTGGAGTTTGCTGTTCTTGGGGTTTTTTACGGCTCTCCCCCTCCCCCAGCCTCAGTTTCCTTATCTGTGTAAAGGGTGGAGATCCGCGTCGCCGCCTCCCAGGAGGCCGCTCGGATTCTCTCCGGATGGCGGCTGAGCGCTTGGCGCGGGGCCAGGGTGTGGGGGGTTGCCCGGCACGTTTTCTTTCTGTTCTCTCTATTTTAACGAGGTGGAGGGTGCGGCTGGTAGTGCTCGTTGGGGCCTGAGCTTCGAGTTGGAGGGCCTGCGTAGAGGGGTCCTCAGCGTGTCTGCCCTCTCCGTACACCCTCGAAGAGGTGCGCAGCCTCGAAGTGGGGAGTGATCCAACCACTCAGTGGCCCCCGGGCAGTCTCGCTGGATGCCCACTGGTCTTGTTTTTGGTTGCCAGCCCCTCCCGCTGTGCCCCCGAGGATCACACCATCCGGTCTGGGGGTTGGAGTGGGTGGCGGGAAGGTGGATCTCAGTGGTCGGCCTGGGTCCTGAATTGGAGAATCTGTCCCGGGAAGCAGGGGTGGGGATTTGGAAACGAGCTATGGGACATCCTGATTCTGCCTCCTTTTAGTCGGGGACATAGCTGCTCCCCGTCTCATTTCTCATCTACAGAGGGCGCGGGGCCGTCTTTTTAGGGTCGTTGTGGGGTTTGCTTTGGACAACGCCATTCAAAAGGGAGCTCGATTTGGGGGCTTCTGTCTGGAAACCGGGAGAGTGCAGGGAAGCGGAGACAGCCCTGATGGCCAGCCCAGGCACCTTATAGAGCCTCTGACGCCAGGTAGAGTAGCCACAGTGTCATCCTGCGGTGTGAAAACCCACAATAGAGAGCAGAGGGAGGGCTAGGCAGTGGATTTCCAGAGTACCTGCTTTCCGCTCTTCCCAGTTGTCTCTCAGCCCTTGTCCTTGTCCCAGGGCCCTGGAGGCTCTGCCCTCCTTGAAGCCCAGGGGAGGACAGGACTGGGGCTGGAGCCACCACTTTCTGCTGAGAGATTCCTGGGTGTTCCAGGTCTGCAGTAGGGGTGTTTGAGGGCAGGGTCTGTGAAGGTGGCAAAGGAATTTTGGGGTTACAGAGGTGCTCCAGACTGCGATCTGAGGTGCAAGAGTACCTTGTCTCATTCTGGGTGAATCTGTCAGCAGTTTGAACAGCAGTTCGGTGAAGAAGGAACCTGCTGAGAGAGAGGAACCCCGACTTTCTCACTTTGCTTTTCTTGGTCCATCCTGCACTGAGCCCCTTTTGATCCTCACCGCACTGGTCTGGTTTGGTTTTCCCCAAACCCTATTCAAGTTCTTGGGTGGGGTGAAGGGGGAGACCAGGCCATCTCCAACCTTAGGACCCAGAGGAGTCTCCCTAAACATGTGAGAAGCAGGTGTCTGAGCTGGACCCAGCGTGTCCACATGGTCATCCCTGTGCAGCAGTGAGACCTGGCCGGGGAGGTGACGTCAGCGTCGCTGGGGGCTGGGTGCAGTTTTTCCCCTGCACGGGAGGGTAGGTCCTGGGTCCCCATGGGCGGGGGTGGTGGTGGGCAGCTGAGGAAATCTTGCCCAGAAGTCCCCATTGTAATAACTGCCTGAGGACGACTGAGGGCGGTCCTAGGACACTTAGTCCTTACCTAGGGTCCCTGGCCTTCAGGACCACTGTGCAGTTAGCAGAAAGGGTTTTGTGTTTTTTTTTACTGAAAGAGGCTTTTTGGTTTTTCTAGCCCCTGGAGGAAGGGAGGTGGCAAAGAGGCTGCATTTGTCCTGGGGGCATCCTAGGGTAGCTAGGGATACATCTGGTAGGAGCCATCGTTAGTCCCCTGGCTGTCTGCAGAGCCACCCCTGAGCCCCACAGGTTGGGAGAGAAAATCCAGCATTAGGGGAAGGACAGTCTGGCTTAGGTCCTTTGGACAGATGAACAGACTGAGGCCCACAGCTGGAGGCCAGGCAGTGTGAAGCCTTGTACACCATTACTGCTGCCCCATCTGGTCCCCCGGGGGTGAGAAGGCTGGAAGGGTCGGTAAGATGTTTTGTCACTGAGGCATTGGGGCACAGCCTGGCCGCTAAACCCCTGTGTTTGGCCCACAGCCCCTAGCCCTTCTGAGCGCCCCTGCGTGGGGCGGGGAAGGACTTTGGAAGCTGTGGGAGATGTTGACGCCGTTGCCATAGATACAGAGAGAAAGCCAGCAGTGGGGCGGGGGCGGGAGGAGAGGCTGGCTGTCGACTCCTTGCTCCTGAGTCCTGGAACCTCCTCCATTCCCAGAAGGCTCCTGGTCCCCCAGTGCCCAGCATAGTCATCTGTGTGTCTCTGGGGGTGTCCTACCCCCTCTCCAGAGACAGCACTCAGACCTGGGAGAGCTGTGATAACCTGGGACCTCCCCTCAGTGCTGAGACCTTTTGGAGTCAAATCTCTCTCTGGGTTGATGGTCCTGTGCCTGGCACTGCAGCATGCTGAGCAGTGTCCCTGGCCTCCTCCCACTCTAGGCCAGCAGCACCCCCAGTGTGACATCCACATTTGTCCCTAGACATCACTCAGTGTCCTGAGGGGGTTTTAGGGCCACCTGCCCCCAGTTACACCATTCCTTAAAAATCTTATTCACCAAGTTCGATCCCCTGTACCAAAAAAAAATCTTATTCATTTAAGTCTTAAGAGATAGTAATGCTCTTCTGTGTGTCAGGGGTGTGTGTGGCCCAGTGGTGACAGAGCCCAGCCCCTGTCTCCAGGACTCTTGAAATGGGCTCAGGGAGAAGGTGACAGTGGAGGAGGACAGTGTGCTTGGAGAAAGAGATTTCTCAGCCAGACCTTAGGCAGGGCAGGGAATGGTGTGTCCCAAGGAAGGAACAGCACTGCCGCCCTGGGGCAGGGATTTGGAGGTGGGGAGCCTCAGATCAGGCAAGGTGAAGGGCTGTGTTTAATCCCCAGGGCGAGGAATGGAGGCAGGCTCTGCTCTGCAGGGTAAAATCCGTTTATGGAGAAGGGATTAGGATGGGAGAGGGCTGGAGGGCCAGGAGCTGTCTGGGAGGAGAGAGGTGAGGCTGGTGACCCCACTTTTCTGATCTGATGGCCCAAGGGGTCAGCAGGGCAGTGGCTAGGACACTTTGCTGTAGAGGGTCCAAGAGGAGAGGCACATGGGGAAACTAAGCCCCGGAGGGGGAAGTACCCCATTACCTCAAGCCGAGCATTCTTGCCTCCACCCCAGCCAGAGCTGTGAGCTCAGTGAGGGTTAGGTGGGCAGTGCCGGGGCTGGCGGTGCCCAGGACCACCTCCGGCCCCTTCTTCTAAGGACAGCAGCTGAGACTGTCTGCAGGATCCCAGCTGTTGGGAGCGGGAGGGCCCCCCAACACTGCAGGGGGTGATAACTACCCCCCACCCAGGCTTCCTGATAAAGGGAGCCCAGATGGGCTGGGAGCTGGTGAATGATACCAGCCAGGGCTCAGGAGGGAGGACAGGCCAGGCCGACAGCTGGGTGGGAACCCTGGCCTGGAGGTGTGTCCCCCACATTCCCTTCACAAAAGTCCCTGAAAGTGCCAGTGTGGGTGAACGGGAAGCAGCCAGGGGTGCTTCACCACAGTGTGCAGGGTGAAGGGGCTCACTCGCTGCTGGTGCTCTTGCTGGACACCAGAGGGTGGTCCTCTAGGCCTGTGCCTCATCTCCCAGATGTGTAGTAAGATGCAGGGGTTCTGGCTGTACACTCAGCACCAATCCTCTACTCATTATGGGGGGGGTGTGCCACCTCCATGAAATGCAAATGGGACACAAGCTGATGCAGGGGTTGGGGGTCACCAGCAGAGTCAGGGGAGACCACTCTGAGGGTGATGCTTTGTGAAGGAGCGGACAGCAGCCCAGGCCAAGACGGAACTCTAGGCCCCAGGCCAGGGCTGGTGCTGCTGGGCTACTGCACTAGTCCAGGTACAGCTGGGGGGGGTCAGGGTGGAGCAGCAAGAGTGGCGCCAGGATGGATTCTGAAGGCGATGGCATTTGGGTGGCACATGGCTTGAGGGGAGATGAGGCATTTAGGGGACCCACCCCCCCTGGATGTGTCTGGCTACAGGTTTGGTGGGCACCGCAGACTAACTGTAAAGAGGAAGTGTCCCTCCCCCATGGTGCCCACCCCTCCCAGTGGGTGGACATTTGTGCAAGTTTAGGCACTGCCAGCCACAGCACCCTTCCTGCCCCACGCCCCCTAGACAGCCTCAGGAAGTCAGGCTGAGCTGCCAGACCCAGGGACCTTGCTCCCTGCCCTGGGGCCCATAAAGACCCAGCGAACCTGGCCTGGCGCAGGACCACCTCCAGGTCCCCCTCTGCTGGCGGCCCAGGACCTGGAGCAGTTTTTCAGGACGACTTGCCCTCCATTTTTCTGAGCCGGCTTGCCACCGAGGCTGCCCTGGCTGTCCCCAGCTCACCCGGGCCCGCCCGAGTCAGAGGGTCAAGTCCACCGCGGCTCCGCCCACATTACCCTTCCTGCGAGGTCGGTCCCCACTCGCCACATCCTCCTCCTGCGCCACCTCCTGCAGTCAGGTAGCTTGGAAAGGTAGAATGGCTGTGCTTGGCGGGGGAGGGGGGGGAGGTGGGAGGTGGGAGGGGGTTATCCCTGCGGCCTTAGCTGCGAGCCACCCCTATCTGCGACCCCAAAGTTAACTTAACCCCTCCCTACGAGTGGATCGTGGGAGACGGTGGCAGGACCCAAGCTAGGCATTTCGCGGACGAAAGGCCAACGTTGCGGGGGTGGGAAGCTACGCACCCCGTTACCGCCACCCACGTGTGCACGTGCGCACCCCAGCCGCGGCCGAGCTTGGGGCTGCGACTGGCAGGCGCCCAGCCTAGCTTGGCGACCCTCCCCCGAGCCCTGGCTTGAGCAGGACCACGTGAGCGGGGCGGCTAGGGCTCTAGGGCTGCGGATGTCGCCTCTGCAGCCGCCACCAACCTACGTGCAGCAGCTGTGTTCCCAGTGGCTATGCTCCCCTCCTGCCTCTACCCTGCTCGTGGCAAAGTGGAACTAAGGGGTGGAGGGCTGGGAGGGGGGGCAGCCCCCGCTGTGCTGAAAGAGGAAGTGAGCCAGTTGCTGGGGGAACCAGCCAGGGATATCCCCTCTCTCCTCTGCGCCCCACCTCTCCTGCGCCGTGCAAGATGGCGAGACTGCATGGCTGCCCCCACCACCACCCCACGCCGCGTCCCCCAGACTGAACCCCTTGGGGGCTGGATGAGAGTGGAGGTCCGTTCTGTGTCTTGTTGAGAACAGACCTTCGTAGCTGGGCATGGTGGTGGTGCATGTGTGTAATCCTAGCGCTTTGAGAGGCTGAGGCGGGAGGACTGAAAGTTCATATCCTGCCTGGTCACATAGTGATCGCTTATCTAAAATGAGAGATAGGAGAGAGAGAGAGAGAAAGAGAAAGAACATAACACAGTCCTGTGGGGTCCATTTCCTAGCAGGTGCCAAGCCTGCTTCCTGTATTGTTTAGGGGAGACCTGGGGTGTAGGACAGCTGATGGCCTTGGTGACAGTTGCTGTCTCTCCTCACTGCCATAGGCACCAGGTCTCCTCTGCCTGGGGTCTCAGCCTCATAGGGCCTGTATCTTAATGACGTCAGTGCGACCCGCAGGGACCCCCAACTACTGCCCTGAACGGAGTATCTGGTTTGTGTGTGTAGGCTTTTCTTTGGGCTCCTTCCTGGACCCCGTGGTGGCAGGTGCCCCAGCCCTGGCCACTTCTCCCCCAGGTCACCTTGAGGACTGCTCTGGCTTTTCTTGCCCCTTGTCACCTCCGAAGTCTTCTGGTCAGCCCCCCCCCGCCCCGTGGGTCCTGTTCTGGGGCCCACCCCTGACTCCTCTCACGTTCTGCTACCTGAATCCATCCCGGTATCTGTCCCCCATCGGTGGGCGGGTTCCCGGCCCAGCCTGGGTCACTTCAGCCCGCATGAGCTGACCGCCACCCTGTCCTCCCTGTGGGTCCCCTGAGGCTAGGCCTTGGGGCCACTGGGACCAGATCCTACTTTCTCTTTTCTCTGTCTACCCAGTGTCACCAGGGACATAGCGCGCGCGCATGAACTCCCTTGTCCGGGAGTCCCCGGCATGGGGAAGGCAAAATGCTCGGGAGTCTCAGCGTCCCGGGTCCCAGGTTCTGGAACAGAGTGGGGAGGGGAAAAGTAGGGAGAGATGGCAAACTGACCCGTGGCTCTGGGGGGTGTGGGATGAGCGAGGCGGGGGGGGGGGGACGGCAGGGGGAGGGGTTTGCGGAGGAAGTTGCGGGTTGGCTACCGCCCGAACCCTGGGCCACTGTTCTGTGGGGGCAGGGGGAGTCCCGCTGGCCTCGGTTGCCAGGCCCTGCCCCTTATCGGGCCCCACCCCTCCCGCAGCCAAACTTGTGCACTGTGACTCTTGAGTTACATCCATGGCCCTTTTTTAGTTTTTACTTAAGATAGTCTCCATAGGGCCGGGGATTTAGCTCAGTGGTTTCGCCGCCTGCTGCGAAAGCGCAAGGACTCGAGTTCAATCTCCGGTATCCCCCCCCCCCAAAAAAAGTCTCCATAATTTGCCCAGCCTGGAATCCAATTTGCGATCCTCCTGCTTCAGCTTCCCAGAGTACTGGGATTTTTCTTTTTTAAGACAGTGTCTCACTATGTAGTTTAGACTGAACTTGAAATCACTATGGAGCCCAGGCCTCAAACTCGTGGCGATCCTCCTGGTTCGACCTCCCCAGTGCTGGGATTAAAAGCATGTGCCTGGGCTGGGGGATTTAGCTCAGTGGTGCCGCCACCTGCCTCGAAAGTGCAAGGTCCCGAGTTCAATCCCTAGTACCCCCCCCCCCCAAAAAAACGTGTGCCACAGGGACTGGGGATGTAGCTTAGTGGCGCTGACCATGCCTGGCAAGCACAAGTTCCAAAGTCTGATCTCCAGTGGGTGGCGGGCATATGGCACGCTAAAACTAGGGGACCCTTTGGAATGTGATAGGGTCCCACTTGAATGAGGGGGGAGGGGAGGCGCGGGCTTGGGATCCATGAAGCCTCAGGCATCTCCAAGTTCTACCATGGCATACAGAACCGGTGCTGCCTGTTTCCGAAGTTTGAAGGATGGAAAGAGAAGATGTTCATTAGGGCTCGTTTTGGGGCTCCTGGAAGGTGGGTGGGAGTTGAGTTTGTTGCAATTTGCTCTTGTTATTATTCTTGGCAGTTTTGTGGGGCAAACCCAGGTAACCCACACATACTTTCTACCACTGAGCTGCACCCCAGCCCAGTTTTCAAATTCACACACCTTTTTAAAAAATTTATTTTTATTTTTATTTTTTGGTACCAGGGATCGAACTCGGCTCCTTGTGCTTGGGGGGCAGGCGGTGGAACCACTGAGCTAAATCCCCGGCCCACGCCTTTTTTTTTTAAAGCCTCTAAACCAAAGGGGCTGCCCTGGGCAGGGGTGCACACAGGAGGATCCAAGGTTGAATCCAGCTTGGGCAACTTCGTAACTTAGGGAGAACCTGCCTCACAATAAAAAAGAAAAGGCTGGGGGTGTAGCTCAGTGCTAAGGCCCAAGGTTTCATCCCCAGTATCGCACAAAAATGAAAATGTTAAAATGAAACAGCGGTCTGGATGAGCCACGGGGAGCCCATCGGGTCATATGGGCACTCCCTGGTCCTTCTCTCCTCTGACCTCCTGTCTGTCCTTGTCCAGGTGAACGGCCCTTTGCCTGTGACTGGCCGGGCTGCGACAAGAAGTTTGCGCGCTCTGACGAGCTGGCCCGCCACCACCGGACGCACACGGGCGAGAAGCGCTTCCCTTGCCCACTCTGCACCAAGCGCTTCACCCGAAGCGACCACCTGACCAAGCACGCTCGCCGCCACCCTGGCTTCCGCCCGGATCTGCTCCGGCGCCCGGGCGCACGCAGCACCTCACCCAGCGACTCCCTGCCCTGTAGCCAGGCTGGCAGCCCTGCGCCCAGCCCAGTGCCCAGCCCTGCACCTGCTGGCCTGTAGGGCCCTGGCTCCACCAGACCTCGGCAGGGCCACCAGCAACAGGACACACCTGCTCTCCGGGGCTCCTGGCCAGGACCAGCTTGGGTCCCAGCCCTCCACCCTGCTCAGACACAGGAGGGGCCCGATACTGGACCTGGGTCAGCCTGCCGAGGGGGCCTGGAGGGGGCCGGGGACCTGGTCTGTAAATAGCCATGATTGTTAACTCTTCCCATCTGTTCCCAGGGACCTTGGGTGGCAACCGGCCAGCCCTCCCCTCCCCCATTGCCACCACCCCTGTCTTCCCCCAAGGTGAGGTTCAGGGGTGGAGCGGGGCCCAGGGGAGCCCCCTGCCCAGTGCGGTTACTGGGCCACCAGGCTCCTCCCTCCAGGTTGGGAAGAAGTCTGCACAGAGCCATAGCTGACCAGGGGTTCCCATGGGCCACTCCTGTCCCCACCCCACCCCACCCCACTGAAAGCCATTGGAGATGTTCAGGGAAATTGGGGGGTGCCGCCTGGCCACCCCCCTGCTCGGGTACTCAATCTCAGGTATCCACAGATGGTGCCCCTGGGAGGGGGATGCTCTGCACCCCAGGCCTGCCCAGGAGATGGGGAGGGGAGGGAGGGGCTGGAGTGGGTTCCCCAAGGAACGCTGGGATTCCCTTTGGGGCGAGTGAGGTGGGCAGTGGGGAGGCAGGCGGTGTGTGAATGCTGGTTTATTTATTTTCCTGGCTCTGCTGGCACGGGGTGGGGGTGGGAGCTCCCCTTCCTTGGTCGTGCGTGCGTGCGTGCGTGCGTGAGCGAGCGTGTGTATGAGAGAGACTTAGAGGGAGATTGGGACAAGGGTCCCTGCTTCCCCGCTGGGGCAGGGTCTCTGATTTTGGCCTTTATGGCACTGTGACCGACAATCTTGTACAGGAATCTCGTGGCCATTAGGGTGGATGCACTGTCCTTCCTGTCCAGAAGCTGGGTAGTAGAGCCCGAGGGGCAGGCATGGCAGGGCTTTAAAGAGTCGCTTTCCTGCCCCTCAAATCCCTGTCCCTCAGGGGTGCCTGGAAGTGGCCCCTGGGCCCTCAGAGTGCCAGCAGGTGAGCAGGCTATTAGGCCTGCTGGGTAGCTCTTTTTTTTTTTTTTTTTTTGGAGTGTTTTTTCAGGCACCAGGTCCCTTTCTTGTTCTGGTCCCTGTGGGTGGGCCATTGTCCTCAGGGGGTGAGTGTGGGGGAGGGTCCCTAGTCTGGACATGGGGGTGGGAGCTGAGTTGCTGCTGTGGCTTGGATTTCCTTTGAGGTCGGAGGGACAGAGGACCTCCCCCACCCTGGAGAGGAAGGGGACCCAGGTTCCCTGCCCAAGACCTCCTGGCTGTCTGCTGGAGGAGGTCTGGAGCACTTGATTGGCTTTCTCAGCCTTCCTGTCTCCTGACTGGGGGGCTTTAGGGTCTGGGGGTGTTCATCTGTGCCTGCCTGATCCATGCTGTGCCCAGGGGGGCTCCAGGGATGGGTCCTGGGGACCTGGTGGAGGGGGAAGGGCCTGCCCTTCTGGAGCTGGGCTCCGAGGGTTGCGCCCCCACGTCTCACTGTCAGGGCTGCCCAGCCTCCAGTGGTGGTGTTAGTGATGCCTTAGTCCGTGGGCGGCGAGTTCCCTGTATCTTGGATGTGTCCTGCTTGGGCCCAGCGTGTCCCTGTGCCTGCCCTCTGTAAGGGGTAGGACTGCTATTCCAGGTCCCAGGAAACACACAATAGCGGTGTCCTCGACCCCTGCTGTCCAGGGTTCACTGGGACCTGGTCCCATGTGTGGCCTCTGAAGGGTGGGCAGGAGGGACCCCAGGGGACATGGGCTTTCCGTGGGTGGCTCCCCTCCCTCGCCCTGCCTGGGCTTTTCCTTGTATTTAATTAATTAAACCCTTTTTTAAAGCCTGCTTTTGTCTCTGGTTTGTTCCCGTGGGTGGCTCCTAGTCTGGATTCTGGGCCCCAAAGGCATCCATCTGGGGAAACTGAGGCAGCAGGCTGCATTATCTTGGAGTGTTGTGGGGGTCTTGGCTGGGACAATACTGCCTCCCTCCCGCCCCTGCCTGGAAACCCAAGCAGCCCATGCTCTGTGCAGTGTCACCCACGCGTGCGCAGCTGCGCCCCCCACCCGCCCCGTTACCCAGCAACACCCCGCTGGAGCGTCTGCCGCCCCCCCTCCGCCTTCCGGCGCCAGCCGGGCCGGGGGTGGGGGTGGGAGTTGTACCCTGGCCCCCCCCACCGCCCCGCACAGGGGCGTCACATGTTCACTTCCCACGCTCGTCAGTGCCCAGCCGTCTGCGCAGCTCAAGTACTGAGCCCCCGATGTATGCCAGCTCCCAGTTGCACCCCTGGGGGCACCCAGAAACCGATGAAAGCGAAGGTCCCTTCCTTGGGAGACAAGACACTGCAGACCCCAGCGGTCGGGTCCTGAGCCCCAGCCACCTGCAGTCCAGGAAAGCCACTGGCCCGCCGCCTGGTGGCTGCCTCTGGTACTCCCCCCACCACCACCTTGGTAGCCCTCAGGTGTCTGGAGGACTACTCCCTCTCTCGCCTCCCCGCCAAAGATTCTCGGCCCCTGCTTCCCTCAGCCAGCCCTTTTCTCTTTCGTTTTGCAACGCTGCGGCTGGAATCCAGGGCCTTCACACTGAGCTACACCCCTAGCCCTTTTTATGTATTATTTGGGGACTAAATTGCCCAGGTTGAACTTGAGATCCTCCTGTGTCACCCTTCCATAGTGCTGGTATTACAGGCTATAGGGTTTTTTTTTTAATTCCAGGGCATTTGCACTGAGCTACATCCTTCTGCCTCAGCCTCCCAGACTACAGTGTGAACCACCACGTCCGCTTCATCTAAACTTTATTTTTGCTGTGCTGGAAATTGAACCCAGGGTCCTGCTCATGCTGAACAAATGCTCGCCACTGAGCTACATCTTAAGCCTCTTTCGTTTTTATTTTGATAAAGTGTCTCCCTGCGCTGCCCAAGCTGAGCTCAAACTTGCAATCCCCTGGACTCAGCCTCCCAAGTGGCTGAATTTAGAGCAAGCATCCCCTTGACTGGTTTCATCTTCCCTTTCTGTCTGTCCTCCCCATAGCAACCATCAGAGGGCGTCTGTGAGCCCGAGTCAGGACCCAGCCTTCCCTGGCTCCCACCTCCATCAGAAGGACGCCCAGTCTTCCCTGCAGGCTACAAGGCCGTGCACGACCTGACCCGACCTTCTCCTCCCCTCCTTCCTCTGCTCCACCCACAGGGGCTCCTCACCACTCCTGCACTGCACCAGACTGCTTCCTGCCCCAGGGCCTTTGCATTGGCTACATCTGCCTGGAATGCTCTCCTGCCGGATTTTCAGGGCACTCCCTGCCTGCCTCTGTTCCAGTCTGTCCAAAAGCTGCTCCCTCATGTAGGGCCCATACCCCCACTCTAAATAGAAGTTTCCTTAGAAATGGTCAGCATGCACATGAATAGACACTCGAAGTTATTATGGCCATGCAAAAGTGCCAATGAGATAACAATTCATACCTGCCAGGATGGCTAGCAGCCTAGCATCCAAAGACCGGGCACATCAAGTATTGGGGAGAAGTGGAAAAACTTGACCTTCCCGTGCTGCTGGTAGGCATGTAGCTTAGGCAGCTGATCTGGGGAAGAACCAATCTGTGAAACAGAGTCACCACATGGCCCAGCTCTGCCAGGGCGGGAGCGAGGCTGTGACACAGCATGGACGGACCCTGAGGACACGGTGCTCAGTGAGAGATGCCAGACACAAGATGCAGCGTGGGCTCCACAGACAGGAAATACCCAGGACAGATGACTCCAGGTGGACTTGTTGGTGGCAGGGCTGGGGAGGGGGCAGGGGTGACTGGTCATGAGGACAGATGACGCTTCCTTTTGGGGTGATAGAATGTTCTGGAATTGGAATTAGATATGATGGCTGTACAACACTCAGTATACTAAGTGCCACTGTTTACTTCCAAAGAGTGAGTTTTATTTTGTGAATTTCACCTTGGTGAAAAGAAGCCTTGAAATGAGTGGGACAAGATGGGATAGGGCTGGGAGGAGGTTTGGTAGTGAGCACCTGCCTAGGCCTCTCAAGGTCCTGGGCTCCACCCCCAGCCCCAGGCTAGACTGTTCTGGTGGGAAGGCCCTGTTCTCACCCACCTCTACCTTCATTTCTTAGCACTAGTTGCAGTCATTAATGTTTGCACCCCAAGCCAGATGTGGTGTGCATCTATAGTCCCAGCTATTGGGTAGGCTGAAGCAGGAGGGTCTCTTGAGCCTGAGACCTGGAGACCAGCCTGGGCAACGTGCTGAAACTCTCAAAAAACAAATGTTACAACCCAGTTATTAAGCATTTACTGTAGGATTTTCTCCACCGAGTTAGATACCCATTGATTTGAGGATGAATTCATTTGTCATTGATTAGTTCATTCAACAGATCTGGGATCCTAGCATTTGGGAGGCTGAGGCAGGAGGATCCCTGAGAGTTCAAGGCCAGCCTGGACTACATAGCCAGATCCTGTCAAAACAAACAAACCAAAAACACCAAACAAACAAATATTAGTGTTGAGGTTTTTTTTTTAGCCGTACCAGGGATCGAATTCAGGACCTTGCGCTTGTGAGCCAGGTGTGGTGCCACTGAGGTAAATCCCTGGCCCTGTTGAGGGTTTTATATCTGGTTGGGTCTGGGGGTTATAAGGTCCTGACCCTCACCTTGTATCTAGCCCTCCATTGCTCCCCATTGCCCTCCTTGATTGGACAAGGAAAGCCCGCCACCTCCATGGGGTGCTTTTTGCTCCAGAGTTTGTTCAAGAAAGAGTCCCCACACCTAGGACACCACTGGTTTCTGGTCTTCTCTGCGTCCTGCTGCCAATGCTTTCATTTATTTAGTGTTTTGGTTTGGTTTGGCTTTTTTTTTTTTGGTGGCACTAGGAATCGAACTCGGGTCCTTGCGCTTTCGAGGCAGGCAGCAGAACCACTGAGCTAAATCCCCGGCCCCCTAGTTTGGCTTTTTGAGACAGGGTCTCACTATGTAGCCCAGGCTGGCCTCAAACACTCAGTGATCATCCTGCCTCAGCCTCCTTCCTGAGTGCTGGGATTACAGGTGTGTGCCACCTTGCCCATTGGGTTCAAACTTTTGATCCTCCTGCCTCAGCATCCCAGAGTGCTGGGATGACAGGTGTGTTCCATTACACGGGGCTGTGTTTCAGTTTGGAAGATCTTTCCATATCACTTTCCACAGGACTTGCATTTCACATTCCCTCAGAACACACCAGGATCTTCTAACTTCCTAGTAAGACTGCCTACCCCATAGGACTGGGAGCCTCCCCATCCATGCCCTGTTGCCCCTTTGTATGATTAAGTGCCGGCATGGTATACAGTAAGTGCTCAATATAACAAAAACTTGAGTGAATTCGGACCTGGGGATTAGACTGCTGACAAGAGTTGTGGTACAGCCTGGCATGGTGGCGCACACCTGTTATCCAGCTGTCCGGGGAGGCTGTGAAACAGGAGGATTGCAAATTTGAGGCCAGATTGGACTACTTAAAGATGATTTCCAAATTAAAAATTTTTTTAAAAAGGGCTAGGGATGTAACTCGTTTGAGGACCCTGCGTTCCATCCCCAGTATAGCAAAAGCAAAAAGAAACATATAAAAAATATAAAAAGTTGGAAAGATTTAAGGAATTGGTTGAGAGCCAACTTTTTTTTTTTAAGGTGGATTTTTCAGTGTGGTCAAGTGACACGCATGGGTGTCCTTTGGTAGGCCGTGTGAATACCAGCCCGCAGGACCCATTTCGTGCCGCAGAGGGCGCCATAAATCGATATGCTAACGAAATGCAAATAAATCCGGGCCCCATAGGCGTTTTCAGTCAGGCGCACCACGGACAGACCAGATGCCGCAGGGGCGTAGGATTGAATCTGTACCCGCGGAGGGTCGGGCACCGGCTCCCGACGGGGTCCTAGAGGACACAACTGGGGTACCCGGTGCCATCTAAATACTCTTTATGTTTCAGCGCATGGGCCTGCCGTTCACCGCAGCCTGGCGGGAGCAGGCGTTTCTGAGCAGGCGCGCTGCGGACAACCCCTCCCGGGGTCCCTTGCGGCGGCGTCCCGGGGGCCTCCGGGGGCCTCGGAGCAAGATGGCGGCTGGGGGGTTCGTGAGGCGAGGGTGGAGACGACAGCGGCGCCTGTGAGGGGCCCGGGGGCCCGGGCGGCTCCGGGCCGGGGTGCCGCCGCGGGACGGACCATGCTACGCTCCACTGGCTTCTTCCGGGCTATCGACTGCCCTTATTGGGCGGGGAGTCCTGGGGGCCCCTGCCGGCGGCCCTACTGCCACTTCCGACACCGCGGGGCCCGGGTTCCCGGAGCACCCAGCGGCGGCGGAGCGACGCCCCCGGCAGCAGGTAATGCCCGCCTGCCCGACTGGCTCGGTTTCCGGGCTGGCGTCTGGACTCTACCGCCGGGCTTGTCGGCGCCCATGTTCCCCACCCAGCTCCTCCCCACATTGCTCCCGGGCGACGTGCCCCCCGCCCCGCCTCTGGGCTTGGGTCCCCCCCTTCCCCCATCCTTGTGCAAGTGGTGGATCCTCCCCGAGTCTCCGTTTCTGCGAGTGTAAAATGTAAACAACGAGAGGACCTGTTCTTGGGGCTTGTCACAAGGGAAGAGTGATTAGGCATAGGCGAGGCGCGGAGTCCTGGGCCAGGGGAGCGGGTCTGGGAAGTGGCTGCGACCCCACCACGCGGGCCCGGAACGCCTCCTCGGGCCCCACGTGGCCGTGGCAACCCTTGTTTATTTCCACGACTCTTCTTCGGCCGCGCCTCTGGGCCTCTGGGTGCGGCCACCGCTGTCTCCAATAGTTGAGTCCTGAGGGTCTTAGGAGCACCTGCTGTACGTCCAGCCACTTGTCACACACGCCTG